TTGGTTTGATTTGGTTCCTAGTCTTGAGCAATCGCCTGCAGGGTGACAAGTCATCCAGAGGTATGGTTAAAAGCCTGCTCCTCCTCACCTCTAGGTGGGCTGGATAGGCTGAATGTGCTAGCACAGGCTTCGAAACTCTGGGTTTTCTGGAAGTTGCAGAGCAGCCTATTCTGTCTGCAGCCTGAACTGGGTTCTAGCCCTTTAGCCCAACCACAGCCCTTCCCACTGTGTGTCCACCCTGCTCTCAGGGTCCTGGTAGGTAGTATATGGGTGGGCAGAGACACCATAGCAGCTGCTTAGGCCTCTTCTTTCCTCTTTGAAGGAGCTGATGCTGCAGCCGATGAGGGCTACTTCATCTATTAAACCCAATACACTTGTCGCAGCTGCTAAGCCCCCGTAAGCCGCCGGGCGCCGTGTTTGTGATGGGACTGACAGTGCATGGAGGAGGCTGATTATACACGATTCCATTTCGCGCGGGCCTAGCAATGTAATTTCACAGGGCGATCAGCGTTTGCATGTAATAGCAGGCTGTGCTGAGGTGTCAGAATATTAAAGGCGCTAATGGCAAAGCTCCCTGTTACACAGGGGGCCACCCGCCGCGCCTACAGCAGGGCTATGCGGCAGGCCCGTCGCAGATGGCTGGCCACTAAGCTAATGGGGCAGCAGCCAAGGCGGGCAGAGCCACGAGAGAGGAGAGCCAGCCGGGAACAGCTCAGCACCTGCTTCCCTGCGCATGGAAATTGCAGCAGCCCAGGGGAAGGGAAGCGTGCGTGCCTGCCTGGCACAGGGCTGGGGTGGGTTGACTTGGTAGGCCTAGCATCTTTCACCCCAGCCAGTTCCACCTGTCCCTGTGGCTCGTATCAGTACCTGGCCTGGACAGGACTCAGGAGCTCCTCAGTCATCCTTCTACCTGCCCCACCCTCTGGCTGGGAACCCCAGGGGCTAGGTGCTGACTGTGCATAGCTGGGCAGGTGGACCCTGATGGCTGAGAGAGTTGCAGCCAAAGAAGTGGCACCCAGAGGATTTGGAAGCAGCTTTGGGAAACAGGCTTGGGCACAAGTTCTTGGAGAGAGCTCTTAAATCAGATTCCTGCCCCACACTGATGAAGGTCAGAAAGCTTCTGGGCCCCATACCCCCACTCCCCCAAGCTGGCAGGAGAGGGAAGGGAGCAGTGAGAGGGAGCAGGCAGGAGTAAAGGGATGGACACAAGGCCCCTTGATGCCATGTTGCTGCCAGGTACACAGAGTTGAGAGGCAGTGCCTTAAGATGTCGCTCCCCTCTCTAACTTGGCTGTCCCAGCCACACCCAAGCCTTTATTGTGCTTGCTCATGCCATTTTCCTTTGTCCTTGCTGTGCCTTCTGTCTGGAATGTTATAGTCCCCTGCCACCTGTCAAACCCTCCCAGCCTGCCAGCACCACTCCCTCCAGGAAGCTTTCCTAGCCTCCTCCAATCTCACCGGGGTGTGCTTGTCTTCATTGTCCCCTGTGGGCAATCCACAGGGCTCAGTCTTGCTGATCCTCCTGCTCTGGTGGGGCCAGCCTTGGCTGGCCTTGGCTCCTCAGCCGGAATCTCTGACACAGAGCCCATGACACCTCACCCTGATCAGGACTCCCAGAAAGGTCTCTGCTGAGATTTGTAGACAGATACAATCTCTTAAGGAGGGCGAATGGAGGGAGCAAGTCATGGAAGGGTGGCAGAGTCACCCGAGGGCAAGTCCGATGCATGTGTGGCGTGCCAGCATATATGCGCTTGGGCCACTCCGTGGCCTGCATATCTGGTGGGGAGAGGCGTGGGCTTTAAAAGTGAGTGGTGGGCACCGATGAGTCTAGGTGCAGAGGAGCAGCAGGTGTGAGGATCCAGACCATATGTTGGCAGGAGCACAGGTTGCTGTGGGACCACCGATGTTTTGTGGGCAGCTATCTGCATCTGTTGGCTGTGCCTGAGCAGTACCCAAGATGGCAGGAGCTGAGGGGAGCATGAGGTGCTGGGCCCTGGTATTATGCCTAGGGCGGCCCCATGAGGCTGGCGGTCACATCAGAAGGTTAGGCTCTGCAGGTGCACGTGTCAGTACCTGGGGAAGACGTGCCAGGGTTCTCAGCAGGGCCAACAGCGGGAGAGCCCAGGCTGAGGGAGAGCAGTTTTAATTAACCGTTTTTAATATCGTTTTTGGACTTTGGCTGGTATGTGAAGGCCCCGCTGGAAGCAGCATTTGTAAAAATTAAATCCCTCTTATTAGGAGCTTGGCAGACCCATGTGCATGCGCCGCCCCCTCCCCCGCCCCATGCCCCCCTGAGGAAGTGCTGGATGAGGCCATGTCACAGCAGCAATTGGTTATCACGCCTTATCTAGGAATATGAAACTGTGCGGCATGACACCCGTGGCCACAGTGGAGACGCCAATTCATCTCGCCCTCGCTCTGACAAGCCAGACTGCCCTTCCTGAAAGGCATCCGTCAGGCGGGACCGGGTTGCCGCCTTGCCTGGCACCTCTGCTTTCCTGCCAGGGGCCCAGCTTTCCCTGGTCCAGCCTGGCCCTCCTGGGCTCTGCTGTTCTCCGTCCCCCTTCCACACATCCCAGTCTGTGGAAGATCTTGGGGAGTCATAATTACAATAATAATCTAATCACGGTGACGCGGCGGGGCAAGCATCTAATGTTATCTGAAGTGGTCTTCCCACTTAACTGCGATAAGACTCAGGATGACGTGCAGATAACGTTGAGCTGCCCTGTCCCCGAGCCATAAGCAGAGCGGAGGGGCCCCAGCAGCCCTGCCGCCCGCCCGTCGCTTTAAGCCGGGAAGCGGCAGCACCTGCTAATGCAAGTGTTTAATATTTGATGGGCTGGGATAAAGCAGGATCACCTTCGAATTGAATTGAGTGTCAGCCGAGAATCTATTACTGAAATTCGGGTGTGATTTGACAGCAAAGTAGACGATGTTATTCTTCACTAGTTACTGCAATCTTCTCCCCGACATCACTTAAATATTTTTTTCTTTGCTTGAGTAAACACACATTATCCTTCTTTTTTCCCCCTTCCTTCCCGTTTTCCTTTTTAGAGGGGGAAAAAAAACCCATCCAGCTCGCCTTCTCCAGGCTGATAGAGTAGATTGTTATTTCTTTATTTGTCCTATTAAATGGAATTTCTGATCATTTAATCCGGCCTTTGTAAGTGATTTTAAAGTACTTGAAAAGCGGCCGCCACTGCTCTCTGGCCCACTGCGCTCCAGCCTCAGCCCTGACCAGGCTCAGTGGCTTCTCTGACTGTGCACCGCCCACTGGCTGCTTCCCTCACTGCCTCCACCCCAGCTCTGCCCTGGCTCTGGGCCAGCATCTTCTTCCCTGTCCTTGAGCCTCACACTCAGCCCCTGATTTGTGGGTTCAGCTGTGGCCTGGGAAAGGGTGGGGGAAGGCTGGCTGGGAAGATGGGCTGTGGCTGGTACCTCTGTGGTCAAGGAGAATGGCTTTAGAGGGTGCTAAGGTTTAAGTACACTCTCTCCTAGCCTCCTAGTACCCATGGGGCTGGAGTGTTGGTTCCTGCAGCTGGAAAGGAAGGGTGGACACAGAATCTGGGCCCTGGGCCCTGGCACAGGCACTGTGTGCAGCCTCCCATTTTGTGTTTCTGACCCTGTGCTGGGTGCTCTCCCCTGTGTGTTAGTGGGATGGAGACCTCCTGGGACTAGCAAAGGGCTGGACCACTGCAGTGCTCATCTGCTCACAGCTGGCAGTCACTTTGGTTCCGTCACTGGACCCCCATCCAACTTCTGGAAACTCACCCAAGCTTTATTCTGACCACCGCCCTGTATGCTGTCCTGCCACTGCTAGAAGGGCGGCCTGGTGTTTGCGGACTTCTAAAGTGAGGTGTGGGTAATGTTTGAAAGCCTGACTAGCTACCAGGCCCACCAGGAGAAGCCCAGGATTTGGTTAACAGGCTGAGCAGGAATTAAATCCTATTCGGCTACTTCATAGTGATCTAACCTATGTTAAGTCTCTTCTTTCTGGGCCTCAGTTTCCTCATCTGTGGTGTCAGGTCAGTCATGGCTAAAAGGGACTGTAAGGGAAGGCGCTGCCCCTGCCCTGCCATGTGCCGCCCCCCCAGGTGGAGGTTGCTGGCAGCCAGGTGGTGAGGGAAGGGGACGGAGGGGGAGGCAGTGGAGTGCTGGGGCCTGAGCAGATCGATGCCCCCAGCACTTCCTTCCCCAACCCCAGGAAAACAATTAAGTACAGATCGATAGGTGGCCGCTTTGAATATGCATAAGTGAGCACTTGACCTTCAGCAGAGCATCTGCTCCCCCCACCACACACACACACATACACATTCACACTCACACACACACAGACACACACAGACACACACACACACACACACACGCCCCATGTACTCCCCTCCCAGCTGCTTGAATTGACCAAGTGACCTTGCTCCTCTCCTCAGTTGAGCCCCCACAAAACTCCCAGAGCCTTCCATAGTCTGGCCTGCTTGTGGGCAAAAGCACCTTGACCATGGCACCTTGCTAGCCAGCTCTCACTTCAACATTTCTGTCTGTGGAGTGCAGTTTGGATGTGCTGGTTTCCAAGGTCCTGCCTGAGGCCAGTCTTTGTGAACAGTAGTACTGTGAGGAGGGGGCCCAGCAAAGTGCTGGGGGATCTGGAAAGGGGAGATCCTAAGGAGGTGTGCATGGTACAGGTGTGCCCTTGTGAGAGGAGGGCTCCTGAGAAGGAGGAGCCTAGTGAATGGGAACTCCTTAGAGAGGAGTTCTGGTGAGGGGCACCCGGTGAGGGCCAGGGACTCAGATGGGGAGAAGCCCAGGAGAAAGCGCACTCTGGAGAAGGAAGGGACTTTCTGCTGGGTTGCGGGAGGACCTGGGTGGAGAAGGGATTCTCACGAGATGGCATTGTGAGAGGGATTCCTTGTTGGAAAGATTTGGGGGGTCGGGGGGAAGACCTTGTGAGTGGGGTTGGTTCAGAGGGTCAGGGCCTCCGTTAACCACTTGCCTCCTGTCTTCCAGGCTTACAGCTTCGCCATGGGCTGCTGGCCCAAGAATGGACTTCTAGACATGAACAAGGGCCTCAGCCTGCAACACATAGGCCGGCCCCACAGCGGCATTGGTCAGTCCCTTCGCATATTCCCCTGGCAGCTCCATCCATCGTCCCTTGCCCGCATGCCCCAGTCCCCAGGCACACAGAGAGTTTCCATGGCTCATTCAGTGCCCCAACAGGGCTCTCTACATAGCTGGGGGAATGGCGGAAGGCGGGTGGAATGAGAAAATTACTGAATGGGACCACTGGAAGGCACCACTCAAAGTGGTATTTTGGAGGAGGCTGGGTCCGGGCTTTTGGTGAGTCACAGGTGGCCTTGGACTCAGGCCAAGGTCCCCCCTCACTGGCTGCATCTCTAGTGGGCAATGTCCTCAGCGGGTGGGGACATGTCAGCTTACCCACCCCCCGTGGAGCTGGAGGAGGCTGTTTAATATTGTTTCAAGTCTGTGGCCACTAAACTGGACGATCAATGGGAGTTAAGGAGATGAATTATTTAAACCTCACCAGCTTTTAATTAGTCGGGGTCCTTCTGACCGATGACTCCGTCCACAGGGTATTGACTCCCCCGCAGGAGCAGCAGCCTCCATTGAGCGGTGCCTGGGTTGAGGCGGGCCACTTGGGGTACCAAATGGGGGCATACCCTCAGGGGGATTCTTGTTTGGAAGGGAACTGGAGTGGCTACGATTCCAGGCAGTTGGAGCCTCTTTTAGTTTCTGATCTATCAGTATGAATACATATCTGTCTGTATCTGTGTGTCTGCATATGTGTGACACCTTTAGCTGTATGTCTCTGTGTCAGACTGAGAGTATAATGTGTCCATGATTATACATGTCTGTTGGGGGGCGTGTTAACAGTATATCTGTATTTTTCTGAGGGCATGAGTCTGTGTGGAAGCAGCTACCAGTCTCTGTGTGTATCTGTCAAGTGTGTCTGTTCAGTTCTGTGTATCTTATTTTGTTTGCATATGCACATGTGTGCATGCACATGCTCTCAGGTGGGGCACCTGACCAGGCATAGGCCTTATTCCAAGTGGGGAAGAGCCAGAGAGTCTCTGGGCAGTGCTCTGACATTACCACAACCTGTGAGCCTTTGGGGTCGCATCATTGTTGGGGGAACTGGAGAGAGAATACCAGGTCCGAAGGACCCAGTCACCTCCTTCAAAGTAGACCATTTATCCATTCCAGACATTCACTGGTGCCTTGTGGATGCTGGGCACACTGAGTACAAGTTTCTGTTCTCAGTGAGCTCACATCCTGGGAAGAGACAGGGACTTGCCTGAAGTAGGTGCTTGCCACCCAGGGTACTAAGGGCCGTGATAGAAAATACATGGGTTGCCCCAAAGGTGGTTTTCCCTCTCCTTAGTTGCCAAGTAGCTTCTACTTCTTCAGTTACCTCTCACTAAGAGGTAGTGATATTGGGGGCATCTCACCCCAGGAGGGATGCCCCCATGTTCTTGTTGGGACATCTCAAGGGTTTCCCAGGGTCCAGGCTAAGAGGAAGTGACCAACAGGCCTGGGGAACTGGGGTTACTCCACCATAACTGATGTTCCCTCTCATAGATATTTTCCAAACAATCTAGAGAAGATGCCAAACCCAGCAGGGTAATATGCCTGGGAGGTCAGCAGGAAGTTTCCTATAGAAGAGGACATTTGAATTGGAATCTTTGAAGGATGAATAGGAGTTTGGTAGTCAGAAAAATGGGGGGAGGGTATTTTAGATAGGAGGACTCAGTAGAAAGGCCTGTGGGCATGAGAAACCCAGTGTGCTGAGGACAAGTTCAGACACCTACAAGAAGCTTCCCATGACTGAAGTGGCAAATTTGGGTTAGGAAACAGCTAGAAAATTATCAGAGACATAAGCAGGGCCTTGAATGCCTGGTTAAAGGGTGTGGACTTTTCCTGCAGTTTTGAGGAGACATAGGAAGTTTGTGAGTGAGAGAATGATGTGATCAAAGCTCTGGTTCAGAATCAATGAGGCAGTTTGTGTTGCACAAAACTAGTTCTTAGTAGGTGCTCAATAAATGCTTGTGGGTGGTTGAATGAATGAGTAGGTGAATAAATGAATCAATGAAAGAGTGATGGGAAAGGGAGGAACCAAAGAGGACCAGTGAGAAGACTTGCATTGGTCCACGGAAGGAAGAACTGGCTGGGGGCTAGGGACAGCCAGGGTTAATGCACCCCACATACACTTTATCTGGGTGCCCCTTCTATCATCTGTCCCAGGGTGTGTGTTTGAGAAGAAGGGGTTCCTTGTTCCCGCTCTGTGCTTCTTGAGACTCAGCAATGCCCCTGTTGTCTGTTCACCTGTTGACCCTAGGTTAGGACCTCTGAGGTATCCCCTGCTTTTTCAGAGAAGGTGGTTTCTTTATCTGGGTGGGCCCCATGGGGCAGCCCAAGGCTCTGAGTGACAATGGAGGTAAGGGCTTTGGAGCCAGAAGTCGTTCTGGTTCTTCCACCCAGAACCCTGTGACCGTAGATGAAGGACAGTGCCACCTGCCTCTCTGGGTTGTTGGGAAGGCTCAGTGAGTCCCCTGGGAAAGTGTTCATGCAGTGCTGGGCACACTGTGGGGCTAAAGGGGCTCCCTCCTCTGTTGCCAGCACCAGGGGCTCCCTAGGATACTGGGCTTCTTGACACTTGGTCTTTGTAGTCTTTGAATGAAGAGGGCTGCCCTGCCACCTCCAGGCTGGCTCTGAGGTGTGGGTGAGGGTGCTTGGAAGGGAGGGAGGATATAGGGCATTAATTGGGCTGGGAGAGGCGGGGAAGGGGAGGCGTGGGTTTTGAGCAGTGAGGTTAATGGCCCTCGCACCAAAGAGACAGCTTTAATGAGCTTCAGCTGGCGATGCCCCGAGTTACTGTGCGTGCTAAAAGGGTCGCGCTGTAAGAGTTTGATGTGGACTGCTTCCCAGCCCTGGGGGTCAGAGGTCAGCTCCTGTCACTGGCCACTCAGGCTGGTCCTTAGTGACATGGTGCTAATTAACTGTGTGAGGAGCTGCCAGCTTGGAATGGGGAGTGGTATGTGTATTGGCTGGTGGGGGGTGAGGCAGCATTGGGTGGCTGCCAGGCAAGGGTGCTGTGGATCCCACAGCTGAGCCATGTCCAGGGTCTGCTCAGTCCTCCTGCAGTGCCACAGGAGTGTGGCATGGGTGGTGTGAAGGTGCTGAGAGAGCACAGAGGCAGGCTTGGGGTGATGGGTGTGGGGAAGGGGCTCAGGCCATAGGGGAGAGGGCTATAGGATGGTTGTGCATGCTGTAGGAGTGTTTTGGCCAGGGGAGTTACATGGTCAGTGTTGGCTTCAGTCAGAGGATGCTCATAGTTTGTAGGGGAAGGACTAGTGAGGAGAGACTGCAGATAGGGAGGCTGAAGGGGAGGGGCAGCAAGGTAAGCAAGAGTGCATCAGCCCTGGAAATAGAGGTAGGACACCAGGTAAAACTTTCTTTCATTCCGTACACACTATCTTGGACCTACCATACATCAGGAACCATGGTAGGTGCTAGAAATGTATTGGTAACAATGGCAGACACAGTGCTCTGCCCCCACAGAGCTCACAAGTGGAGTTGTGGGCTTGGCCCTGGGGACTGAAGGTGAAGTTGGGTTTAGGGATGGCCAAGGAGGGTCCAGAGGTGGTGCAGCACTGGGCAGAAAGGCTGCTGGAGGCTTGTCAGCGTGACATCATAGTCAGGGGAGGGCACTTCCTTCTGCGGTAGCAGATTTTGCCTTGGGAGCCTGGTGAACAGCCTGGTGCCAGAGCAGGTTGTGGTGAGTAGGGCCTGCATGCATCTAGAACTGCCGACTCCAGGGCTGCCGATGGTCTCTGTCAGCATCCTTGGTTTGGACCACAGGCTCTGAGGGAGGGCAGCCTCCACAGGGGACTGATGAGTGGTCCTTCATTCATTTCAGCAAAGGGGCAGTAAGCACTCACATTAGTTGGAAACACTTTCTATTAACTAATTCAGTTTTCACAACAGTCTTATGAAGGCAGGCATCATCATTCCCATTTTATAGATGAAGAAACTGAGGCTCAGTGAAGTGAACTGCCTAAGGTCACACAGCCAGTTGATTGAGGAGCCAGGATTCAAACCCAAGCCCATCTGAGTGCAGAGCCTGTGTTATCACTGCGGAACTATGAAGCACCCTTTTGGTATTGGGCTATGCGCTACCAATGGAGACGATGTGGAAGAAAACAAGCTCGCTTCCCTCATTTCCCTCAGTGTCAAGTGAAACATGCAGGCCTGAGCAGAGCTTTAGTAGCAGCAGCTGAGGAAGAAAGCAAAGGCAGTATTACCACTCCCTCTCTGCTGCTACAGTCACCCTGAGCCAGGGACCTGCAACTGTTGGCATCTGACCTCCTTCTGGCCCTGACGGTTCTTTGTGATTTCAGTTCTCTCTCTACCTCATGGCCCAGGAAAATTCTGCTAATCTTCCAGGGGCCACCTCCTCTGGGAATCTTGCCTGGCCCTCCCAGTATGAGTGTTCAAAACACACACTTGGGCCCTATTATAATTTGTCAGAGGTAATGATCTGGCCCTACGTACTTGGGTTCTCTAAGGGCAGGGCCTGGGCCTCCTTCCCTTCTTTTTTGGAAATCTGCACAGGAAATGTCAGTAAAATCTCACCTGCTGTTGTAACTTGGAGGCCCCACAGACTACTGCTGGTTTCAGCTGGCTAGGAGAGTAACTGGAACCTTCCCTGATGCCTGGCTGGGTGGTCCTGCCTAGGAGCTTGGCCCCTCTGCTCTGGGATGGAGAAGGATCCCAGTGAGGCTTGTGGTACAGGTGGCATGGCCAAAAACCAAGTGGACTCTCAAGAGCTTGCTACCCAGAACTGTTTGGCAAGAGAGCTGGGCTGGAAGGTGGCAGGGTGGGGGCCTGGCCCCCAGGGGGGCAGTGGGCTGGCCTGTGGTCTCCCCTGAAGGAGTGGGGTGTCTATCAAGAGTCCAGTCAGAACGCATTAGCTCTGTGACATGGATCTCATTAGTGCCCGTGAGAGGTGTCACTGCGGGAGAATCGTCGGCTCAGGGAGACGCTTGTACCAAAAGGAAGAAAGGACAGTGACAGCCTTTTCTCTGCCGC